CGGAGCTTGTGATGATGGGAAAGAGCAAGAGCAAGTCGAAGGTTGACATCGACTTGTACAACCAAGTCGATGACTTGGACTACTTCAACCATTTGAACTGGGGTTCTGATGTCTGGAGTAGGACAATTAACGGTCTGAAGCGTGCGATGAATGGAAAAGTTGCGCTATACAAGAACAAAGTAAGAACGAACAAAAAGTATCTAGTAAAGTATAGCCTACCGGGATTTCCGCTTGCGTTTCAGATAATCAATACGTATGCATACTTGTTGTCCTTGTTTGTGAAAACTTTTTTTAGGTGTGAGACTGAACTGAAATTTTATATTCAGGTGTGGATATACGAGGTTGTCCCATCTCTCATCACTCCCGGTGTCAATCGTTTGAGGCGAGACCGCCATTCCCCGGATAATTCGGTATTCGTGCAGTAGAGTCGTCGGTACAAAAGATCTGGGGGAGGAGGTCCTTGGTTCAGCGGTGGTAAGTGATCTATAATATGTTTATTGTTGTCTAGTTGTAATGGTATTTACACTTCCTTATGTTCTTGTGATTTACGTTCAGTTGGTCATACTTATCCACTCGTGGAGACAGAGCTGGATAAGGACTATCAAAGGTGTCCATTGGACGAAAGAGAGGTGGTTGATTTAATTGCGCCTGGGTGTTCCACCTCCGACAGTGATGATGGACACAATCCTTCCCCCATCACCGACAATCTTGGCGCCGAAGACGATCTCCCACTCGACGATGCGCATTCGTTGGAAACGAATGTACAGGCAATACCGGATGAATCTTCGGATATGCCACATACAGAGGCCGCATCTGAAGGTGGGCAACGGACACCGGTCAAAGTACTTCGACCAAGTACTTCTATTCTGTCGAATGTGGGGCAAAGCACGCGGCAATCACCGCGAGCGACGTCACGCGATGCTTGCCCTACACAACAGCAAGACACCCGTCGATCAAATGATAAATTCGGGGCTATGGAGAGAAGGCTGGATCTTTTAGCTTCGGACATAGCGGAGGTGAAGACAGATTTGGCGAAGGTCAAGTCCGACTTGAGTGAAATGAAACTCATGCTTCAACGGTTGTGTCAGGTAGCCTTTTCCTATGACTTGGTATAGTTCGTATACTGTATGTATTCATTCAATCGAAGTGCTAATACGTTARTTCGTTTGCAGATCGATAGGCGAGAGGTGAATATTGGTGTCTCTCCGTCGGATACAGTCCACGTGTCACATCCATTGGTATCCAATGTTATCCCCGAGCATGATGGGGATGCTGATGACCATAAACCTGGAGGTTCCGATGCTGGAAAGGAGGACGATGTGGTTCCTGTAGAAGCATCGTTGCATGAAAAGGCAACGGATGGAGTAGAGATGACCATACCCCCATCCGATCTTGGAGATGCAGAACTAGCCAATCCCGCGTGTATTGTCCATTCGGTGGAGTTGGACATTGCAGTGGTGACACCCATTGTTTCGACAGAGATGGTGGAACTCGAAATGGCACCACCAATAGTACAGGATCCACAAGCAGAGACGACGTCCGATCCAACCTTCGAGCCTCCTGCCTCAACCAACATTGATGGTCCGT